GTCCTAGGAAGGGCGCTGGGCTTGAAATCTGACAAACTTGGGCTTAAATGTCTTTCCCTAGCTCTGTGTCTAATGTCCTTTGAGGTTCCATTTCATCTCTAAAATGCAAATCTTATTACTTACTTAAGATTGCTCTAGGATTAAGTAAATAAGCCATATTATATAAATCTCCCTGGCCCATAGTAAGAGATTGTTACTAACGGTAGTTCCTTTGCACTTTCGTTTTTAAGTGCCAATTGTTATTTTCTAGAGGCTCGTTAAGTAAAAACAAACAAGACAACATTTAAATTACCCAATGTAAAGAAACTGAAAAAGCAAATCTACTTGTGGTAGTAAACTTTGGTTTTTGTGTGTTGAAAATGGTACATGAATATGTCAAAATGATGGAGTCAAAAAACCTAACATTAAATCCAATGAGGTTAGAAAAAAAGTTTAAAAACGAACCCAACACCTATTTAATGATGATAAGCGTAGGCACCGTTTGATCCATTACCTACTTTTAAATGCCAGTCAAATACTATTCCTAGTGCCGACCTCCTCACTTGTCCCCCTGCCCTTAACGAGGGCTCATTGCGGTCGAGGCGTTATTTTTTTCTCTTTCTCACAACCTAAGAGAGATCCGGTATCTCCTCTGCCATTTGCAGATGCAGACGCCTAGGTTCTGCGCGGGCGAATAGCTTTCCCAGGACGCAGTCGGGACCCGGCGGGCCAAGTCCAGGGCTTGCGGCTTTAGCCGCATGCCTGCCGGCGGCCACGACCCCGGGTCGCGCCGGGTCAAGGTCTCCCAAGAGCCGCGGCATGGCGAGCGGCCGTGGCCTAGGGCGCCGACACCGCCGTGACCTTGAGCCTCGCTGGCTGGGAAGGCGCTCCGACCCCGCCGTGCCCCAGTCCACCCCGTCCCCGCCGACCGCGGCCTCGGACCCCGCCACCCCAGCGGCCCTGCCCCGCGCCGAGACCAGGCGCCCTGCACCCCGCGGCAGCCCCTCCCTGGCCACTCCCGGAAAGGGCGGTGCTGCCTACCGGAGCCTGGGCAGGAGGCTGCAGGGGGCGGCCCGCCGCAGGAGGCCGCCGATCCAGGCCGCTCCGCGGGAACGCAGCACTCGCGCCGCCATCTTGCTTCGGAGCCTGGGCCCCCACCGCCGGGGCCGCCGTTGACGCCGTTGACGCCGTTGACGCCACCGCTGCCGCCGCGACCTCTTCCCCGGCCGGGCCCGCCGGGCTGGCGCGGGGTGGGGCGCGCGGCCACTGCAGTGCAGGGCGCTGCCGCCAGGGGGAGCAGGTGCGCGGCCGCCACGGCCCGGCTCGCGGTACGTCCGGCGCGGGCAGGCCCCGCAGCTTGGAGAAAGGAGTGGGAAGCCCCAGAGGGGTCAATGGCATGACAGTGATGTCCTGCGAGAGGGTCTCGGTGCTCAGAACAGGGTGTACCAAAGGAACATGGGCAAGGCTCGAATGCACTTGGAAAGAGCCGCAAGAAGAGTAATATTTTTGCTGGGGGAATGCAGGGTCTTGGGGGGCAAAGCTGGGAGGTGGGCTTGTCCCCCAATACCTTTTGAATTTTGTACCATGTAAGTATATTCCTTTAAAAACAAACAAAAAACACTTCAATGAAATCATTTTGGACGGAAACAGAAAGTACATTGTTTCTGTTCATTTCGCTGGTCCCATCCCTGCCCTCAAGCTGTCCCAGTCAAGTGGGGCATAATGTGAAATGATATGGATGGAATGTGTCGAGAGGGAGCACGGACAAGAGAGCCTGTAACTGGGGGGGTGGCTGTGAAGTGGAGGCTAAGCCCCCAGTAGCTGGCAAAACAGCACAGCCCTAAGGGATGGGGAGTTGACCAATGTTAGATGGAGGACATCTCCAGTGAGCAAACAACTTAAAAGGTGTGGGTTAGGATGGCACTGTCTGCAGAAAATGTATCCTGCAGTAAGATAAGCAGCACAAAAGTAAGCATGAAAAAACTGCCCTGCAATACAGGGCAGAAAGGGAGCTAGACAGAGAATGGGGTGAAACAGGAAGGAATGGAAGCCTCAGCCACCAAGGGAAGCATTTCAAGACCACTGTGAATCTGCAGAGGCCAACAGGAAAATTCCCTTATAACTGGGTAGCTGGGAGGTCTGTTACCCAGGCACATCTTTCCAGGACAGGTGGCACAAGAATTGGGCTTGCATACTTAGGGGCTCTCTGAAGTTGGCAATTTTGAAGGTGAACGAAATGTTGGGGTTCAAGAGGTATAGGAGTTTTCTGACTAGAGTAGTATTTGACCATGTTAATCTGGCAAGGAGCCAGGAGGGAGGACAGACATTTCTATGGGCCCTGTAGATCAATGAGTGGCAACAAGGATTTGCCTCAGACCAGGGAGATGCATTTTTCACTTAAAGGCAACTGGAGAACAGGCCAGCGGCATTAGGACAGGTCAGAGGGTATGTGGCTGATGCTTAATGAGGCTGTAGAGGCTGGAAAGATCCAAAAGGGAGGCTGAAATGAGCTCTCTACAGGGTAGAAAGGATGTCCTATCCTGCACAGTAAGAGGAAGGGCCTCTTCAAGCCCATGGTGTCAATGTGCCCTTGTGAACTTTCTCACACATTCTCATATAACTTTTCAGCTCTACTTGAGAAAAATGCTTTCAAATCTACTTTCCTGAAAATATAAACTTGACAGACATTTCTTTGCTGACCTTGCTTTCATGTTATTTAGTATTAGGCCTCTCATTCTACATTTTTAACTCTGCTATCATTTGCTCTGGAGTTCCATAAACTCAGTGCTTTTTACTAGGGAGTTTTATTTCACAGGTGTGTGGTTTATTCAATGCCACAGAATAAATATGGGGCATCTTCCTGGAGTGTAGTTTTTATACCAGTATTTTCAGGAAAAATGTTAGGTAAAAATGATACATTATAGAGTACATGCAAACATTTAAAATATTAAAGCTTTTAGAGATGTCTTGGTGTCCTGTCCCTTCCAGGATAACTGGTATCAGATAGCTCCACCTGCCAGGGACCTAGACACTCTTCCATGCTTCCTTTTGGTTCACCCTCTCTTGTATCAAACCCTGAGTTCTAATATGGTAGGAGTTTTCTGACTAGAGTAGTATTTGACCATGTTAATCTGGCAAGGAGCCAGGAGGGAGGACAGACATTTCTATGGGCCCTGTAGATCAATGAGTGGCAACAAGGATTTGCCTCAGACCAGGGAGATGCATTTTTCACTTAAAGGCAACTGGAGAACAGGCCAGCGGCATTAGGACAGGTCAGAGGGTATGTGGCTGATGCTTAATGAGGCTGTAGAGGCTGGAAAGATCCAAAAGGGAGGCTGAAATGAGCTCTCTACAGGGTAGAAAGGATGTCCTATCCTGCACAGTAAGAGGAAGGGCCTCTTCAAGCCCATGGTGTCAATGTGCCCTTGTGAACTTTCTCACACATTCTCATATAACTTTTCAGCTCTACTTGAGAAAAATGCTTTCAAATCTACTTTCCTGAAAGTATAAACTTGACAGACATTTCTTTGCTGACCTTGCTTTCATGTTATTTAGTATTAGGCCTCTCATTCTACATTTTTAACTCTGCTATCATTTGCTCTGGAGTTCCATAAACTCAGTGCTTTTTACTAGGGAGTTTTATTTCACAGGTGTGTGGTTTATTCAATGCCACAGAATAAATATGGGGCATCTTCCTGGAGTGTAGTTTTTATACCAGTATTTTCAGGAAAAATGTTAGGTAAAAATGATACATTATAGAGTACATGCAAACATTTAAAATATTAAAGCTTTTAGAGATGTCTTGGTGTCCTGTCCCTTCCAGGATAACTGGTATCAGATAGCTCCACCTGCCAGGGACCTAGACACTCTTCCATGCTTCCTTTTGGTTCACCCTCTCTTGTATCAAACCCTGAGTTCTAATATGGTACATCACCTATCCAACCACTTTTCATCTTTCCTGACCAATTCAGTTTGTAAGTCTTAGGATCAGTCTTTGAACAGGTCATTGTCTCCCTCCCTCTAATCTTTCCTCTTACAGTCCATTCTCGTCACAGATGCTATTACTTTTATTTAAATATGAATCTACATCACTTTCTTTAAAAATGTTAAATAACCCACCACCATTTACAGTGTACTTCCTGTCTACTGCTCTGAGTTCCTCTCTCATGAAAGGCCCAGCAATCCTCACCAGCTTCTTGAAGCCCTTGGTTATGCTCCTCTCTCATACTTTGAGGACTTTACACTCTCTTCCTTCTGCTTGGAATGCTCTTTCCACATCCCTCACGTACTAGCCTGAAGACTTTCTTTTCTTCAAAATTCAGTTCTAGCCCTATCTCATCTCTCTGGGAAGTTACCCTAATTTTCCCCCCATGAATGTCCTTCCCTGCCATGAAGGCCCCTATGCATACCTATTCCATTACAGTATGAGCCCCGAGAGGGTGGACAGTACCTGTGGTCATTGTTGAAATCCTGTACTAATACAATGTGTTAGTTTAAGTATGCTCCAAGTCTCTAAGTTATCACAGTTTATTAATGAACAGCAACAAAACTGAAATTCTCCAACTCAAATACACCTGTAAGAAGCTCTACAACTTCCTCAACATATCAGATTTTAAGAACTCATTATTTAATCTAGCCTGGGATACAGAATAAAAGTGACACAAATTCTTAAAGTTTTTTGTTCTACCTGTCAACATTCTCTACAGACTTTAATCTGATAAAGTCTGACCTCAAGCATGCTGCTTATTTTCATTTGGAATTAGTAAAATCAGAGTAAAGATTTAAATTTTTGAATGTATATCATCAAAAATATTCACCTAATGTGTTATCTGTTCATGGTATCAAAAGGTTTCTTCTCCCAAAATAAAGATTCTAAGATAAATTCAAGATGCTTTGAATGAAAAAAAAAGTACACTTTCTAAATAGTGCACTAACAAAATAGAACAGTGGACTACTAGGCACACTTAGTGTAACAGTTAAGTATGTACACTGAAAAGGAATTCAAAACATGACCATAAATCTTTATGAAAAATTGTAACAAAGCCTTTATTTTCTTTGCTTTCAGCTATTTCATAAATACCAGGAGAGATATTGGACAGTTTGTGGTGAGACTCAGAAAAAAATTTTTTCTCATAAAGCAAACCTGTAAGTCTTTCCCTTTGGTTCCTTCTTCCAATCCTCCTTCACTGTGTTGAAGAGCTATCATGTTCTTTCAGATTTTTGGTTAGGTGGGTGGTTTCCAGACTGACTGGACTCTCCAGATAGATAGCTCCTGCACAGGGTTTTCTGGTCACTGGATCTATGACTTGTCCAACTTTGAAAACGATCTCAGCCAATTCATGTTTCACATGCTTCGTTCGTGGGACAGGTAAAGCTTTGAGAAGCACAATATCCCCAACTGTGCACTGCTGAAGGGCATCGTGAGCAAAGTAGGTTTTGCGCTTGTTAAAATACTGTTGCGAGAAAGAGGAAGAAATCAGTAGTTCCTATCCGTGATCTGCCAGTGCAGTATAGAATATGAAAAAATAATGTACAGAAAACCAGCTGTGACTTGGGGAGAAAGATAATACATTTAAAGGAGGCCTCCAATACAAAAATCACCCGCTTTATTTATGGAAATTAGCAATGACTTTTTCAGAGCTGATCCTGTCCCTGAGCTCTCCAGCTTGTTATCTTCTGTACCCTTGCTGTATAAATTATCACCCTTCTCTACCACTATTTAAGGTCTTCCTTCCCAGTGAAGCCTTCTCTCCAAACTGTATGTAACATACTACTCTGAGTACTAGTTGTGGGATTTGGGATAAGTCACTTACCCACTCCAAGCTCAGTTTTTTTCTATCATAAAATAAACCTCTAAAGTTACCAAGAGAATTAAATGCCATAACATATATAAAGCACTTAGCTATATGCCTGGCTCAAAGTATTGCAAACAAGCCAGAGATGATAACTAGAATCATCTGTTCCTCCTAACAACCCTGCCACAGCAGGCATTCCCATTTTACAGATTAGAAAAACAGACTCAGGTAAGTTAAGTAATGTGCACAGGTAGTAAACAACAGAATCAGTATTCACACTAAGGCTTTCTGATTCTAGGTCCAATGATTATGCCATCACTTCAACTTGCTCCTGGGTTTTTGATCCTAAATAACAAAACAGCATTTCTACTTAACTGTGTGCTCAACCTTGAATGCAGAAACATCTTTGGCACTTCCCTCCTCCCTCCCCTGCACATCTAACAAATCCAGGACTCCATCCCTTCTTTCTTTCTCCACGTTTCCCACTCTACCCCAATGCTCCAAGACTGTTCAAGTCCTTATCATTTCCATCCTAAGCTTTTGCAATAGCCTCTTACCCACTTCCTGACCTCTAGCCTTGTCTCCTCATCTGTTTTGCCTTTGCTTATGGGATGAAGTAAAAAATACTACATAAAAGGTCTTTCCCAATTCATTTCCAATTGTTCTTGTATTCATTTAACAACGGTGCCTACTTAGTGCCAAGTTTTGGGCTCAACCTTGCCCAACCACTTGCTATTCCTGTACTATGTCACACCCTTTCATGGCTAAAAAAATTTTCACGAACTACTTATCATGGCCAGAATGACTTTCCCGGCCCCAATCTGGTCCTCCAGATAAATCCTTTTTGAGATTCTGCTCAAATGTCTCTTAGTCAAGGATGCTCTCCGTTGACAATTTGAAAGCATGAGGTGTTCTGCTCTCTTCTGCCACAGTACTGCGCATATAAAACTACAGCACTTACCAGACTAAACTGTAATTAACTCTATGTGTCCCTAGAATGGGAGTGGGAACCATGACTAATTCGTTTTATTATACCCACAGACCAGTACTGTGCCTGGTTCACAGCACATATTCAGTGCATCCTCACTGACAGAGAAGTCTTTTTCAGCTCAGAACCCGGAATATGTTGGTGATTTATTAATGACACCTAAAAACAGGGATGTTCCTCACCTTTGATAAATAGGGATCCAGAACAAGCCTGGTCACTCTGACTTTGGCAGTTTTTTGCATTGCTGTCCCAATCACCTTTCCCACGATCCATTTGGCATGGACGGATGAACGAGCTATTGACATTATGTGACTTTGGTCACCTGAAAAACAAATTTCAAAGTTGAACATTCCGTTGGTTATGACTCGCCAATTCTGTCACTAGAACTCACCAAGTTCAGAAAGAGCTTTTGTTGACCTTCTGGAATCACCACGTTAGAAATGCTTACACGTTTCATTATTTTCTTAACTGCCCAACCTCACTTCTTAATACCATTTATAAAACTGTAATTTTAACCTAAAACTCAGTTTCCCCCAAAGCAAAATGGAAGTAACTATAGGTCCTACTCACAGGAGCGCTTTATGGATTTATCTGTAAAGCTCAACTGCGCGATTAACAATGGCCTTTACTGGCGTCCCTTATTACTCGCCATTCCGCTGGGCTGCCTCTCCCCAACAGCTCACAGCCTGGCTACTCGCGCGGCAAACGCCTAGGCGGAGCTGCCGGGGTGTCCTTCCCATTGAGGGAGACCTTGACGCGGGACTGCTTTCCCAACCACTTAATAGTGAGTTCATCCATCCCGCAAGGCTGACCCACCTTCCGCAGCTGCTGAGCGCACCCAACGCACACCTCCGGATCTACTACACTGGTGAGCACCCCGCAGAGCGCCGACCGGAAAGTGATAAGGGTTACGTCATACGCATCGCTCCATCCGGTCCGTCCCTCTTATTGGCCGCAGATCGCCTTAACAGCGGGCGGGGCTAAAAGCAGGGTTCCGCCCACTCCGGCGTAAAAGGAGCCGCAACCTGTCGATCACCCCGCATACTTTGGCCTTTCATTTCCCCATGGTAACAGCGACGGGAGTGTGGGGATTATTGCCTTTCCTGGTTTTTATTTATTAATTTATTATTATTATTATTATTATTATTATTATTATTTTTGTTATCATTAATCTACAATTACATGAAGAACATTATGTTTACTTCAAGTCCCCCCCACAAACCCCATTACAGTCCCTGTCCATCAGCATAGTAAGATGTTGTAGAATCACTACTTGTCTTCTCTGTGTTGCATAGCCCTCCCTTTCCCCCATCGCCCAACATTATACATGCTAATCATAACACCCCCTTCCTTCTTCCCCACCCTTATCCCTCCCTACCCTCTCATTCTCCCCAGTCCCTTTCCCTTTGGTAACTCTGAGTCCCTTCTTGGGTTCTGTGACTCTGCTGCTGTTTTGTTCCTTCAGTTTTTCTTTGTTCTTATACTCCACATATGAGTGAAATCATTTGGTATTTGTCTTTATCCACCTGGCTTATTTCACTGAGCATAATACCCTCTAGCTCCATCCAGGTTGCTGCAAATGGTAGAATTTGTTTTCTTCTTATGGCTGAA